AATACCAGTAGTCAACACTTTACTTAGTCTGTAATACCAGAGTCCAGTCTGTAAATACCAGTGGTCACCACTTTACTTAGTCTGTTATACCAGAGTCCAGTCTGTAAATACCAGTGGTCAACACTTTACTTAGTCTGTAATACCAGAGTCCAGTCTGTAAATACCAGTGGTCAACACTTTACTTAGTCTGTAATACCAGAGTCCAGTCTGTAAATACCAGTGGTCAACACTTTACTTAGTCTGTAATACCAGAGTCCAGTCTGTAAATACCAGTGGTCAACACTTTACTTAGTCTGTAATACCAGCGTCCAGTCTGTAAATACCAGTGGTCAACACTTTACTTAGTCTGTAATACCAGAGTCCAGTCTGTAAATACCAGTGGTCAACACTTTACTAAGTCTGTAATACCAGAGTCCAGTCTGTAAATACTAGTGGTCAACACTTTACTTAGTCTATAATACCAGAGTCCAGTCTGTAAATACCAGTGGTCAACACTTTACTTAGTCTGTAATACCAGAGTCCAGTCTGTAAATACCAGTGGTCAACACTTTACTTAGTCTGTAATACTTAGTCTGTGATACCAGAGTCCAGTCTGTAAATACCAGTGGTCAACATTTTACTTAGTCTATAATACCAGTGTCCAGTCTGTAAATACCAGTGGTCAACACTTTACTTAGTCTGTAATACTTAGTCTGTAATACCAGAGTCCAGTCTGTAAATACCATTGGTCAACACTTTACTTAATACCAGAGTCCAGTCTGTAAATACCAGTGGTCAACACTTTACTTAGTCTGTAATACTTTGTCTGTAATACCAGAGTCCAGTCTGTAAATACCATTGGTCAACACTTTACTTAATACCAGAGTCCAGTCTGTAAATACCAGTGGTCAACACTTTACTTAGTCTGTAATACCAGAGTCCAGTCTGTAAATACCAGTGGTCAACACTTTACTTAGTCTGTAATACTAGTACCCATTCTGTTCAATAATTTCTCTCAGCATGCAATGCTACTATCTGCTCCCTTATAAAAATCAAGTAAATAAAGTTGATCACTTGTCATCTGTCATCATGAAATTGAGCCTCATTAAGGTTTTTTTTACCTGCAAAATAGTAAGGTTGCTATATATGAACCTGTTATTGATTTCAGTATTTAAATTGTATCAGGTGAACATGTTAATCAAGAAATAAATCTGATGTGAAAACTACAGTGGCAACTACCTTGTTAATCTACTTTCATTTTACACATACTTTACATTATACCAACACGTATAAAGGAATAATTTATTGAGTCAATATATTTCACATTTCAGAATACAGATATAGATTTCTGGCAGCACTTTCAAAGCAAATTGTACAAAAAGTTAAAGCTATTTTAGATGGCAGTTGGTGAATTTTTATGTTGAATGCATTAATTCCTATTATATACTCAAGTGGCAAATTCATCTGTTTTTTTTTTTTCATAATTTGTTCCAACTGGGATAAGATTTTTAAGTTTCCAAACTTGCACTTGTTGACTTCCAAATAAGAAACTTCAGAATATTTTCTGAGGGATGAGTTCTACCAACCCACCCCCTCAACCATCCCCCTAACTTTATATCACCCTGAGGATGTTAAACTATTATTTTCTCTTTCACTTTAGTCTCCCTTTTACACATAATGTTGCTGTTGTCTCAGTGTATAGCATTGTTTTGGTGATACTGAATTGTTCCTCAACTATCAGTTGTTATGGCTGGGGAATTTACCTCTCCCCTCTTCCCCCAACCACACTCCCCCTCCTCGCCCCTCTAACCTTACCTTTAAAGGCAGATACAATGAAATACTTCCTTAGTCAAGATATAGAGAGAAGTGTTTTCTCGTAATTATTCAATAGTGTAACACATATAACTCTTAATATATTTTCTGATTTCATTTGGTTGGACAGAAATTTGTTATGAGAATATGATTGTCAAATGATATCAATCATTTTGATGATTGTTTAATGAATATTTCCATATTGTAGTACAGGAGAGCTTAAAGGCTATTTCTGAAGTATGTAATACAAAGAATTACCTTCCTGAGACGCAGTCATGTATCTCTTGACAAATGCGATTCAATCAGTATGTATGTAGAACATAAAATTTTTGTTGATATGTAGATTTTTCATTGTGCTTTCGGCCATTTGCTTACTTCTGGCTAGTTTTATTTCCTTATAAACAATAAATCTGGTACGTGTCGAAATTGAATTCATCAGAGACAACAATATCAATTCTGATATACCAGTATGTAATTAAGATGGAACTGCCAAAATTGTCAAGACAGAATTTCTCCAATTTGAAGAGATTTCAATGAAACCACCAGGTCATCATTCTGGTGATAGAATAATTCTAAATTGTCTCATCCTTTGAGCAGTTGGGTGCTGCTCAATGATTTTATTACTGAAGAACCAGTAACAGACACCTGCTAGTGACTGATCACAAACTGTTGAGGACAATTTGTAACGTTCTCCAAAGCATCCCATGAACATCCTTTCTGTCCTGTTGTCTTTTTTTTTTCTCTCCGAACTTCATTACAAATTCATCTTGATTGCCACAATGTGGCCTCTGGTCGTTTATTGATCATAGAGTATAGCATGCCCAGCAAGCATACAGATGAAGCCGACTTACCTAGTATTCTCGACCAGAGAGATTCCTGAAAGCTTCATCAAACAGACCGTGTCATTTACAGTAAAAAGACAATACATAATGGAGGTGGAGATTCACGTTGCACGATAATTGTCGGTTTGCCTGACCTGTGTTATAAATATCAACATGCAATATGGCCAAGTATCATTATTAATGAAATCGCTGGACCGTTGAGCAACAAAGAGAAATTTTGGAAATGAAAAATACAGCCATGCAAGTTTAATAATGAAATCAGAAATTATACGCAGGCATCAAGTGTAATACTGATTTAGTGATAAACTGTGGAGAGAATTGGATGGGGTTAATTATCTGTGAATAAGATCAGAAAGATGTATCCATTGTTTGGAGTTGTGACACCTGGTCCAGAACTATATACAAGAAAGCGTAAATTATAAATATTGACAATGGTAATCACCTAAAAACCCTTCTGTAACCTCAATTTCCACATTCATTCATCCATTATACAAAATCTGTCTTCCTCTTTATTTCCTTCTCTCACTTTCTTCTGGTAACAATATCAAAGAAAAAATGCTGTCAGTTTTGCATTTATTAATGTAATTTTACCTAATTGTACTACCATCAAAATTCCATATGGTATTTTAATTGCAAGTACCCATTAATAATTAATGGATAATGAAAACATATCACTAACCCTGTATAATGTATTTTGTGTGTTGATTGATTTGACAGAATCAGGTATCACAAGTGCTGACATTAAGAAAATGGAGGTTGAATGAGCACTCTGTGACTTCACAAAATTGGCTGATTATATCAATATTCATCAGACTGGGCAGAAGTTAATTTGACCTAGGTCGGCAGGTGTGTCATGGTTAATAGAGGTCATTACCATATTTGGACATTAGGTTCGCTAATTGGTAGAATCTGTAATTATGTGCAGAAAAAGTGGGCAGGTGTACATTAATACACTTTAGTTATTTTTGGGTCAATGTGAAATAAAAACCTTCTTTCAAAACATTTTAAGGAATTTCTGAAAAGACAGAGTCGTTGAGGTGTTGGAAACTGGTCCGATATTTCATGAACTACGTGTAACTTGAAAGGCTGATCAACGATTGGATTATTGGATAGTTGGATTTAGGTACATATCTGGTACATGATGTCACTATACTGTACTTGTGTAATTATACACTGAAAGCAATCTTTAGCTAAAACATTTGATCTATTTGCTAAGTAGATAATTGGTTGGTTATTAGTAAGTAAAATGTCTGTTCTTTTGATTTCTTTTAATTCACTTCATTTTGGTATTTGTTACAATGTCACTGTATTGTTGTTACCTTGCATGTTACTTTCAGCAAGTGGATTAAATAAAAATAAGTGAATCAAAATGGGATAATCTGCTATTAGTTCATCATATTGTTATGGTTAAAAGCTTTGCCTATGATTTAAATGCTGGTTAATTTGAAATATTATGACAATTTCACTGAACACATGTGAAATGTGAAATATTTGATACAAAAGCATTGACGATATTCAGAAATCTGTGGTAGTCAATCACAGAACATTTCTAAATTTCAGGCATAGAATTTTTAGATTTTGAAATTTGTTGCATTTATGATATTTAAGGTATCTTTAAAGTTGCTGGATATTTCACTGAAAGTAACTCCATTCCACACACAGATTAAATATAATATGTTATCACTGAAGGCTTGTCAATTTCCCTGACACCATGACTTCAGGTCATTAAGTGCAAGTTTCTGTTATTGATTACTTGTTCTCCACCTGCACTGATTGTTAGCTAGTACAGATCATGTTATATATCTCAATCTTTCTTATATATTCCTGGCATTATCAGTGTAATATTTGTACATGTGGTATAGGAAGTAAACCGCAAATGTCAGAGTATTTATATTTTACTCTTTTTCAAATAAATCATCAATTATGAAGTTTTTGTATATTATTTATTTGCAGTGTTGATCTCGGGTACAGAATATCTTAGCTTGATGTATCACCACAGATATAAAAAATAAATAAATATAAAAAATGAATGACATGAAAATACTTTATGTAGGAAGCCTTACAGAATAAGAGTCATTGTGATTTTTTCTCTTACCTCATGCAAGACATGATCATTAGAAGCAAACATTTAGATGATCGTTGCCATTCCAGAATTATGTCTGCATGAATACATTATTGAAGGCAATGCAAAATATTTCAGAAAAGGTGATAAATATATACTAATCTCATATACTGTGGAGTTGCCCGAATTACCTGTGATAATACAGAAATATGTTGAAGAACATTAAAAAAATGATGAATTCTAGATTATTTTTATATGTAAAATATATTGAACTTTGATGGTAAAACTGTTAAATTTTTTTCCAGATTTTAATAATATAATTCACCATGACGTTGGACCGCGACACACGGCCTGATTACACGGACGAGACGATGACATCACAGGCTGCATCATATGCGCTCCATGTCCTACATCGGGATGAGCCCATCAACAGTCGTAACAGCCCCAGTACGCTCAATGTTCTCACCAACAGCTCCGACTTTGAGTTTACTAATAGGTATGTTTGAAACTATTATAAAGAATCACCCTGTTAGAGAACAGCTCCAGCTTTTAGTTTACTATGAGTTATTGAGCATGCTCAGTATGAAGATAGCAGCTCCAATCGGGATATTGAGTACACTTTGTGATGTAGATAGTGACTTTAACTGTAAATTCACTATCAGCTATTGAGTATGCTCAGAGATGTAGATAGTCCATTCAACTGTGAGTTTGCTATCAGGTATTGAGTATGCTCAGAGATGTAGATAGTCCATTCAACTGCGAGTTTGCTATCAGGTATTGAGTATGCTCAGAGATGTAGATAGTCCATTCAACTGTGAGTTTGCCATCAGCTATTGAGTATGCTCAGAGATGTAGATAGTCCATTCAACTGCGAGTTTGCTATCAGCTATTGAGTATGCTCAGAGATGTAGATAGTCCATTCAACTGCGAGTTTGCTATCAGGTATTGAGTATGCTCAGAGATGTAGATAGTCCATTCAACTGCGAGTTTGCTATCAGCTATTGAGTATGCTCAGAGATGTAGATAGTCCATTCAACTGCAAGTTTGCTATCAGCTATTGAGTATGCTCAGAGATGTAGATAGTCCATTCAACTGCGAGTTTGCTATTAGGTATTGAGCACAGTTCACACTGCTATGCATAAACACCTTCTGTGAAATATTTAAAAAGTATGAATATTTATGATAAATAATAACATATAAATTAATGGTTTTCTTTGAAGATGTATTTTATCATGTATTGGTGTGAAGAGAAACTCGTAATTTTTCCTTTATCAGATCATTTTAATTTGCACTAAGATAAACTTTTTTGGTGTTGAATTTAATGAAAAGAATTAGTGCATTTATGACAGTTTATCATAAGACATTGGTCCAGGTGTGAGTCACCCACATGTCAATAATTGGTCATTATCTCACATCTAGGACCACAAATTTGTGTATACATAACTCACTGAGACAAGGATACTGTAGAACCAGTGGTCATGTTGTCCAAGACATTGGTCCAGGTGTGAGTCATCTAGTGTCAATCATTGGTCATTATCTTGCATCTCAGACCACAAAATTTGTTTATACTTATCAGCATCTGTTGAGGCAAGGAAACTGGTCAGCAGCATTTATAGACTGACCATTCCACTGACCACAAAAACACTCAGTGTGGCTACTCAGAGAATATAAAGTGTAGCATTTCATTCTCCAACAAGGAAATGTTATGCTGCCTGTATTTCTATTTATGTTGAATTAGTGTCAGGGTATTCTGTTATAACATAATTTGTAGTGTAAAAGGACTCTGTGATTAACAGACTTCGTACCAAATACTCCTATAATATGAGTAAGTACTACTACACAACCTGCCGTGTCTGTACTTTGTCTGTTGGTACACTGTCTGTCGATATTACAATCTTCCAAGTACTCTTTCCCATAGTGATAAGAAATTGATTACCAATCAATAATCAATCAGTTCAAATTTGATAGGATTTATGACATAATCGATTATGTAATTGGCTGACTATGTTCAACATTTCCAAACAAGGAAGTCAGGTGTTCGATACATTTTAGTGAATGGTAAAGGGCCTAGAAATGTTATTACAAATTCATCTTTCTACTCTCTTGACTTGAATCAGAGTCTGATTGCTAATCCTTTCAGAAGCTATCATTTTCGTTGATCTGGATATGGCCATTACAGCCTCCGGAAAAGATCACTTAAGAGACGCTTGCATCATTTTAACTTTGATGGCCCTGAATATTTCATGAGAAATCATTGTACTAGAGTTTCATATGGAAAGTTAGATACTATGTATGTTTTTCGCTCAATCAATGATTAATCTGACAATAAAAACTGGATACAGTGTCACAAGACTCAAATATCGCAAGGCATAAATGAAATGGAAATGGAGTTCGTATGTAAATTGAAAAAATATGACCTTTGTTTTGTTTCTTTAATATGAGTCAGTGAATCATTGTGTTTCAACAAGCTCCATAAAAAGTGTCCATTTTATGACTACAGTATTTCAGTTCTGTGCAAATTCCTAGATTACATTCTTAACACTGATCATTGAAAAATTATAGTAAATATTCTCAATTTTGATGTAGTAAATATTCTCAATTTTGATATGATAAAATTGTATTTGTAATGACTGATGTGATAACCTTACTATTTTGTTAATTTTGTCCTTGTCTCATAAAAAACGAATGAAAATCATTATCATGTTGTCAAATTATGAAACACCTCTATCATCAAAATAAAGAATTGATTCCTAGAATGTCAAAAAGTAAATATTTTTCTAAATGAACATGCACCGTAAATCACCATCGTCTAGTTATCTAATTTCTGGTTCTAGCCCTTCAGAATCAAAGGTGACAGGGTTTTTCAAACAGTCATCAAGGAAAAAAGGCCCTGTAATCAGTTCTATTGTATAGTTACTATATTTGTATATACTTAGATGATTATTTTTGACCAAATTAGATCTAAAAGTTGATTTGAATTTTTCAAATACTGAACAAAAGTAATGAATTATTAGATGATTCTAGCAATTTTCACAATTTGAGAAGGTCAATCCTGTGGCCAATGTCAAGTTGACCTGACGAAATCAGGGGAATTGACTATACTACATATACTATTTATCAGGTATCGACAAGTTGTTCATATAGAATAATATTCAAATGTCTACATAATTTTTTTTTTTTTCATATTCTATATCATTATGTTATGCTGTGTATGTTCATCAAATTACAATTGCAGCAGTTCCACATCTAACTTTTTTGAATTCTTCTTTGCCTTTTGTCTTCTTTTCAAACAATGGATCTACCTTATTTTAATCACGATTGTACCTCAATGTTGACTCTTCTTCAATCAGACTTTTGAAAAATACTTTCATTTTCTCTAACTCCAATGACTTTATATGGTTTAGCCTACCTTAAGTTTTTTTTTTCCTTTTTTGTTTTCGCAGTTTTCAAAAAACAAATTATGATACAAGTCAAGATTCCTTCCCAGTATCTATCTGAAGTAAATTAATAAGAAAGTCAAAAAAGATATTTCTTGACCAACCAAACCAATTTTTTCTCGGCATGTGAGCAGGATCATTCATGTTTTCTATTCTTGGACCTAGGTAATTTGAGAACACAACAGGTCATTGTGTTCTGGGTAACTATTTAGACATTTTTTCAGATATAGCATTTAGATATAGTTATCAAAACTTGTGGATATTTACTTCAGGCTCTTCATAACAGGGAATTTTATAACATAACAATCGGTGGGTATTGTTTTTGTGTGAGATAAATCAACAGGATCATACACTGCTTCTCAATTTACTCCATCGCCCAATGGTACAGCACCAGGTGATGTAATCGTTACTGTTAAATGATAACTCTGGTGAAAATGTTAAAAACCTCGAGCTGTGATAGTTACAGGCTGTGTGATATCTGGGTTTATCTTCAGCGGTTAGAGAGATTCTGTCGATTATCAGAGCATTAACAATCCATTAAAGACATTTTACACATGCTTTACATTGTCTGACACAACTTACACAGGCCATATATCACAACTCGCAATCATAACTCGTAATTCAGATTTAGTTGCTGTGTGTAGTATTTCTGTTTTAGGTCCAAATTATTGAATCACACCTTAAGGCCAAATCATTACATTAAAAAGAAAATCAGGGTTGAATTTTCAAAATTTAAGAAGGGAAATTTTACCAATTTTTTATATATATATTTTTTTGGACAAAAAATGGGATTGTTGGTGATTCATTATTAAGCTAACAAATTGCTGTTGCCTGTCTGATAAAGTGTAATGTCAGCAGCAGTGATTAGTCACCTTGTATATTTCTCAATACATACCTGAAATCAATAATGGTTTTCCCCTCATTATAGTGTGCAAAAGGTCAGCTTATCAGGTTAAAGGTCACATCAGTTTTATTTGTCAGAGGTCATAATTTGAAGGTTAAAGGTTATTTCCAGCAGCTTGGATTAGTTTCGGTCACATATGATTATTTGTAATACATTTGAGTTATTTGTCAAGTTGGAATTACTTTCCCTAGTATAACTTAATGGACAGCTGGAAGCAAAGCTTGACCTGTAGATCAAAGATTGAATTGATAGTGAAGGTCATAGGTTAATTAGGTCAAATGTTATATGAAGAAGCTAAAGTAAATAAATGTCATGGGTTTAAGAAGACAGTGAATGAGATGAGAAGATGAAATTTTGAATGAAAATATAAGTATTTCATTGATATAGTTTACTGGGTGTTTGTGTAGAAGGTAATGTTATAGGTTATACAGATCTACTTGTACAGTGGTGTTTGGAGGTGTGTACCAACAGTGGAAACAGTTGGCTGTATCGATCACTAATTACAGCCTAAGTGTTAATTACAGCTATAAGGTTAAGGATATATGTACCATTTTTGATTTTTTAACATGACTCAATCCTTTACACCTACAGTGCAATGGTAAGGCATGTTAATCAGTTTTCCATTTCCAAAGCTAATTTTTCAGCTTTAAATTATTTATCTTTCTAGATGGAAAACAACATAAAATTAAAAGAATGGATCAATTATAAATGATATTATCCTAAATCACCTGTATTAATGGCAGTTATCATGACAAGACGACCAATCAATGATAGATAATTGATAAGTGACAGGTTATATATAAATTGTTCATAGACAATTTAGTAGACCATTGAACCATCCACTTATGATATACATTGGACTTACATTATTGATGTCATCATTGTTTACGTTCTGTACGATGACAAACATTTAACTCCAGTATTGATCTGTTTACATATTGAAATGTATTACACATACACTATTTCACTACAGACTGAAATTGATTTTATGACTGTTCCTTATTGATTTTAGTAGCTGTATATAGATATATAGGTACAAACACATGTGTCATCTCACCTGTAAGCATCAGACATGAGTCATATGTGTGTTTCCCCATCAGGTCAGACTCCGTACCAGAATAAATCACCACTGATCCTGGAAAATCTTTAACTATC